ATTTCTGACATTTCTGAGTGATGGTTGTTCTATATTTTAGTTGTAATTTTGATGTGGTTGCACAAAGAGGCAGCCGTGTCTGCCTATGCTGCCATCATGACTGCAAGTCCACATTGGTGTATTAACACAAATGAGAGAACTACTTCTTAGCAAAGTTATTTATGCAAATTCATACAGGTGATCAGGAATGGGAACAAGCTTTGATCTAATGCCTCTCTCATTCTGAACCCCACAGCCTAGTCTTTCCATTATATTTTGTTCCCACAACAGTAGATTGTGGGAACAATGCACCAGGCCAGCGATCCTTCAAGCATGGTCCTGAAACCAGCAGCAGCAACTGGTTTAACAGAAATTTGTTAAAAATGCAAATTGTCAGACCCACCTCGACCTACTGAATTAGAAACTCTGGAGGTGAGGCCAACAGAGCAATCTGTGTCTTAAAATGTCTTCCTTGTGAGTGTGATGCACAGCAGATTTTGAGAACCAGTGTGTGCGGCCAGTTGTTCTCAAGGGGACTTGATGAAGGGCCTCTAACCTTACAGTGACTAGTTTCCTAGCCTCTCTTCTTCCAATATGAAAAGCAGTCTTAGAAGTGCTTTTCAGCTCCTGCTTTCTTTCTGCTGGGTAGTATTCCATTGTGTAAATGTACCACAGTTTTCTGATCCACTAATTTACTGATTGGCACCTAGGTTGCTTCCAACACTTGACTATTGTAAATTATGCTGCTATGAACATTGGGATGCATAGGTTCTTTTGAATTGGTGTTTTAGGATTCTTAGGGTATAATCCCAGTAGTGTAATTGCTGGGTGATAAGGCAGTTCCTTTTTAATTTTTTGAGAAAATTTCATAGTTTTCCACAGTGGCTGCACCAGTCTGCACCTCCACCAACAGTGCTTTAGAGTTCCCTTGTCTCCACAACCTCGCCAGCACTTGTTGTTTGTTGATTCATTTATTACGGACATTCTGACCAGTGTGAAGTTGGAGAGCATTATGCTAAGTGAAATAAGCCAGTCAGTGAAAAACAAGTGCCATATGATCTCATCTATAAGTAGAACCTAACCAACAAAACAAAGAAGCAAGAAAAATATAACCAGGGACATTGAAATAAAGAACAAACTGACAGTAACCAGAGGGGAGGAAGGAGAGGATAACAGAAGTGGGGATGGGGCAAAGGCTCATCAAGGAACATGTATAAAGGACACATGGACAAAGCCAAATGGGGGTAGGAATGAGGTGGGAGGTGAGGATGTGTGGGGTGGGTGGGAGTGGTGGGAGGAAAATGGAGACAACTGTACTTGAACAACAATTTTTTTTTAAAATGCTTCTCAGGAAGGACCCCACATTGCTACCAGGAATCCGTGGTCAGGGGCATCACAGTAGCTACTGGTATGTTCACAGATATTATTGCCCTGATTTAAAAATAGTCCAGCAGAACCCTGCCCCAAGGGCCCATGAGTAACAGCATGTGCATTCTCAGCTCCCCTGGAAAACAGAGAGCACAGGAGTAATATAAAGGCAAACTTCCTGTCCCTTTGTACTTAGAAGAATGTAGAACCGGGGAGTGGTTTTAGAGCTCAAGGGAGGATACTCGCCATCCTTAAGAAAGAAAATCCAGCAGAGGGGCCCTAAAGGGCAGAGATTCTGCAGGGAAGCATAAACCAATCAATTATGTGGGCATTTTAAAACAATATTAGCAGCTGAGACCTATAAAAGATCACAGTGGCAGCGTAATGGGCAGGCAAATCAAGAGAGAAAGGTGCAGTTCATGGGGTGCCTGGAGAGAATAGAAAATGGTGTGCCATTCAGCCCATCTGGGTCTGCCTGACTGAGCAGTTTGGGAGGTTGTTATATACCCATGAGGTGCTGCCTTTTTCACATTGGCTGGTAGAGCTTCCTCCTTTCTATGCCCTCCCCAATTTCAGCCATTGCCTCTTCCTGTCAGGGCCCCAGACAAGTTCAAGGTTTCCCTAAAGCATCCAACTCAGGAACAGTGACCCAATTTACTGTGGCCTGAGAGAGCCTGGCATTTGGGAATTGCAGGGTTAGGTCACACTAACTCTTTGTCATTTGCCCTAAACATGTGTCAGATGTCAGCTTGGTGCCAAGACAGAGCCCAGAACAGAGATTAAGGTGGCAACACCAGCTATACAAACTTTACTTTGGCTCCAAATCCTAAAGCACAATTATGCTGAACCATGAATTTTCAAATAGGGCACTGGGAAGTTCTGAGAGTTGGTACAGGAAAAAATGAGGTTAAGTAGAACCAAAAGCCATGAATTGCTTTAGTCAACAATGATGGAGAAAAAGGAAAACTCAGTCAGTTATGCCCATAGGAATTGTGCTTGTCTCTCTGCTCACTGCAGAGCCAGGCCAGCCTGTGAAATCTCAGTAGCCTCTTTTCATATGGTAACAAAAGAAAGAGTAAGAAGAACAATACATGTGCTTTTCACTAAGCAGGTGCCACAGGTGGGTGTCAGGGTCTCTTTCTTTTCCTGGAGAATAGTTTGGTTTTCCCCTCCCCGCTTCCCAGTCAGGTGCTGGTTACAGAGGTAGGGCTTGGATTCTCAGCGAGTATTCCTCTGTAACAAGGCTCACATACCAATGCACAATTTATGAATTATACTCCAATGTTCACATGAAGGATGAAAGTGGGGACTAGGCTGATGCTAAAAAACAAGCTGAATTATTTAGTGGACTTTATCACATGACTGCCTCTGCTTGCCCTTAAAACTAGCACCAGCCTCTCACAGAAGAAAATTAACTTTGAGATGAAAGAATCCCAACCACGTGAACCAAGTTCAGCATTCCTCAGTCAGAGGGGGTGAGAGGCATGGCTCTACGTTTTGCAGTTTTCCCCAGCTCACAACTATTCCTGGGGCTCCTTCATCTTCTCCCTGTGCCCTCCTCACTGCAAAACTGAAGACCTTGCTCTCAAATGAATATAGGTTCCCACTCTGCCATGCTCTGTGCCAGATGATTTACATTTTTCTCTTAATTCTTACAAACTTGAAATATCATATCTTTTGTTTTGTTTGTATAAATAGGAATACTGAGCCTGCAAGAAAACAAATAATCAAAGTTATATAGGTGTTACCTAGCAGAGCTCTGATTTGAACCCAGAGCTTGTGATTCCAAAGTTCCTACCACAGTAAAATGACATTTATGAACAAGGCCTACCTTTTCAGAGCACACAGAGGATAACAAAATGCAGATAAACCAAGATTTTATCTTCTGAAGTCCAGGGTGTGTGCTTTGGGATATTTAGAAAAACGCAGATGCTGGTGGCTCCCCCCTTAAACTGGTGTACTCCATTTAATCTCACGTGAACGTTGTTTCCCTAGCTGACACTCCTAGACATTCAGGCACAGCCGCACATCATCCATCGTGACATATCTTACTGCAACACCACCAGCCAAATCCGACAGGAAAGAACAGCTCAGCCCAAGATGGACTTACAATGTGGAGCAAAGTGAAGCATATTTCTTATACTGTCACGCCATAGCCTTTGAGGAAACATTTTAATGGACTATAAATGAAAGGCCTGTAGCCAGAAAAACACAGGGAATTCCAGAGTTCTGCCCCAAGATTCCCTGAGTATTATTCTATTTGCATAAACCAGGGATTTTAAAAATGACCCCCACTAAACTGTATACACAAAATGGATTTCAAAAGCCCGAGAAGCAGCCCACACTGGTTAGACTCAGCTGGAGCGTTGCTTGTAAACCGGGGGGTCAGGGCACCTGCCTGGGTTGCGGGTTCAGTCCCAAGTCAGGGCACATTCAAAACTGATGTTTCTTTTCTACACATTGATATTTCTCTCCCTCCTTTCCCTTCTCTCTAAAATCAGTAAGCATGTCCTTGGATGAGGATTTAAAAAAAAAATCTGAGAAGCTACTAGAAGAGGAAGCCTCCCTTTTTTTTCTGCCAAGGTCTCATGATTCTAGGAATGTGGAAGATGGTTCCTGTTAGACAAACAAACAAACAAAACCTTAATGCTGACTCACTCCAGGTCTAGGAATGGAACAAAGAAACCGTTTACTCCTTGTAATGAAATTCAAACAAGGAGACTGAGAGAGACTCAGAGGGAATTATGCCATGTTTGGGGTCAAAGTTTTCCCCCTTTATCTGTGGCATTTTTCTCCCCCAATGTTTTTTATATGACAGTTACTCAGTAAATTAAAGCAAAACCTGCTTTGCTATCACACCTGGGAATTTGAGGCTATAACCTGTATTCATTAACTAGGTTAAAGGTCGGCTGATCCACATCTTCTATCAGGGATGTCCGACCCGTGGCCCTCTGGCCACACGCAGCCCACGATGGCTATGAATGCAGCCCAACCCAAAACCGTAAGTTATGCACAGACCTTTTTTTTGCTCATCAGTTTTCATTAGTGTTTGTGTATTTAATGTGTGGTCCAAGACAACTCTTCTTCCAGTGTGGCCCAGAGATGTCAAAAGTTTGGACACCCCTGTCTCAGTACTAGCTTTTTCTATGCCAGGTGCTATAGAAAATTGGGGTGTTTTAAAATTGGTCCTTCTGTTGAAAAAGCTTAGATACTTTCATGGAAAAAAGGTAAGCCCAGTTAGAACTGGGCTCATTACATTTCTTAGCGTCAACCTGCTCCTTCCCTAAGGCCACTCACAAGCCTGGAGGCTTCTCTGCCATGCCAGCTGCCACCAAGCTTTCGTATTAATCATACAGACTTCAGACATTCATACTACTATCTTCCAGTCCAAATAAACAGAAATGTATTAATAAACTACCATTTGCCAAGTACTTCCTGTAGTTTGAGGACACAGGAATCATTAAGAAACTAGTATTCTTCAAAGACACTTTTGTACCCTGGTTGGTGTGGCTCAGTGGATTGAGTGCTGGCCTGAGAACCAAGGGGACACAGGCTGGGCACAGTCAGGGCACATGCCTGGGTTGTAGGCCAGGTCCCCAGTGCAGGGTGCGTGAGAGGCAACCACACATTGTTTCTCTCCCTTTCTTTCTCCTTCCCTTCCCCTCTCTCTAAAAATAAATAAATAAACTCTTTAAAAAAAAGACACTTTTGCACAGTCTTGGGATGTGGGCTGCTGCAGACAGGAGGCATGTGGCCTTGGGCAAGGCAGCTCTCTTTGGCCAAGGCAAACATCGCAAAGGGCTAACAGCTGAGTGTATCTGCACACAGCTCTCCCAGCAGGTGGGGGGATAAGCCCTTCAGAACAGAAGGGGGATCTGGGCAGCACATCACAACACACACTAGTCTTTCCATTACACCATGAGGACCCACTACTCTACATTCCCGAAGAATCTACTCTAGGATTCTGGGGATGCTTGTGAGGGCTCAGGAGATTCCCTTGAAGAAAACTTGGAAAAGGGAGGTTAGCCTTGGGTTAACCAGGTTAGTGCTGGTTTCAGAGTCACATCTGACTCATGATTTTCTCCCTTTTCAGTCATCATAGATTCTCCTTTTTCCTGGCTAGCATTCCTGGAGTCTTGGTGACTTATCAGCAGCATTACCCATATCTTCATCCCTGGGGAATCTCACCCTGGTCACCATGCCTTTATCAGGCTATGGCTGCTACACTCTTTTTTCATTAGACAAGGGAGTAACAAGAGGCACCCAAGTGAATTACTTGGGTCACAAACATAGTTTTTTTCTGCCTCTGTTGTGTAACAGAAGTACTCCTGCTAGGATTGTGACTTGAGTTCACATATTCAGTCACCTTATCCTTGAGTCAAAGTCAGGTTTTTGCCTCATCCACCAGCCACATGGATTAGGGATCCATGGCCTAAGGCATGAATTGACAGGGAGGATCTGTTGCAACAGTGACAATGGAATGGAACTCTGGCCTCCTTGCTCAGATACCTTGCTTTTGTCCTCTGGCCCTGCTCATGCTCAGTCCTTCATGTGCTACTTCCATCTCGCAGTGGGTTCTTGCTGGGCCTGTCCAACCTTATGTCTTGGTAGGTCTGACAGAATTCTGTACAAGAGGGACAGCTTTGACTCCACGATCATTTATTATCCTATAATCAGTCACTCCATCTCTACCATGGTTCAGTAGCATGCCAGAAGCTATTTTTCAGAAGGTGTATTATTATTTGTTAGGGTTGGCATGGTCTTGATAGGAGAACTCAAGAATTAAAAATTTTAGCTTCAGTCATAGTTTATAAGCTTAAGTGATTAATAGATGTGGAAAGCTGTATTCCAGCAACTAGAAGGCATGACCACATGACTCCAGGAGGTCAACAAGCAATTCAACCTTGTGCCCCAGAGGAATGCAAGCATTGGAGATGGTATGTGAACCACTGTGTTCTAGGGAGGGAATGTCCATGACACATATAAAGAATTGTTGATCAGCAAATAAAGTAGTAGGAAAATTGCTACCAGACTGCAACTCTTACTCAACTAAACCTTCTTCCAAACTCCTTACATACCTTTTCTTTTCCTCATGAAAATGTTGGCTTGAGATGAGATGTTAAGATGGTTTCTGAGGGTACATAACCTGCCATCTTCTCAGATCACTGGCATCTGAATAAAGTGTTCATACAAATTCAATCCTTGTCTCTACTTATTGGTTCTGGTAGTGACAGACAGCATGAACACCAATTTTTTCCAGTTTCATTCTTGCTCCAGAATCTTAGGCTCCATGTTGTGATTCTTCTTTGGTGCTTAGCACTGCTATCTTGTGCCAGGTGCTGTTTGATGGTTGGTGGAGGTCTTCATTCCCAGCTGAAAAGCAAGGATCCAACTACAAAATCTCATCTTAGAATCTAGTTTCTCAACTACTCCTGGTACCACCTGTCATGGCTGAGTTCCCAGGAAGTTGACTCTGAAACAGTGTAGCATGCAGGAAATGTATTACAGGTTCCTCTTGAAAGTAATACCTATGGAAGAAAAGAGAAGGAAGCAAGATTGCACAGTGAAAGAAGCTGAGCTAAAGGAAACCTCAACAAAGCTTCAGTTGACTCCTTGCACAGTTATGAGTCTGGGATAACCTATAGAGTTGTGCAGAGTTGGGAAAAAGGGCCAGGCATTTTCATCTCCACATTAACTAGTTATTGGATGCAGGCTGACTCAGGAAGGGATCTTCAGTTTGAGTAAGGTGACCCTTATTAAATAATATTGAAAAGAATTGACAGCTGAAGGTTCTGACAGCTGGTGGAACAGAGTCCTTCATTGTTACAAGGTGACACATTACAGCATCCACTGCAGATGCTCTTTTCATTGTATTAGGAGGTGGGATAACTAACACAGACTAAAAAGCTTGAGAGGACCAGGTCTAGACAGCTCACACTGGATGGCTATGTTCTCAGAAAAGCGCTGTTTTGTTCAGAAAAATTGTGTGGACTAAATCGAAGATAATTTACTGAGTTAAGGAGACTCTGAAGTGAGCTGTATTAAAGACAGTGCATGGAGATTCAAGACACAAAGACTTTGGCCTTTTCTTCCTCAGCTATTGAGTGACTGGGAAATCACTTTACTTCTTTGTCCCTCAGTTTCCTCATCTGAATATGAAAGAGGTGCCTACAGGACCGCATAGGGGAAAATGTATGAATAGATGACCTTTAGTATGGCAATGACTTTTTAGGTATAACACCAAAATCATGATCTGTGAAAGAAATCATTGATAAGCTGGAGTTCCTTAAAATTAAAAACTTCTGCACTGTGAATAACAATGTCAAGAGAATGAGAAGACAAGTCCTAGACTGGGAGAAATTGTTTGCAAAAGACATATCTGATAAAGGACCATTATCCAAAGTATACAAAAGTACCTTAAAACTCTACAATAAGAAAGCAAACAATCTGATTTAAAAATGGGCCAAAGATCTTAACAGTCACCTTACCAAAGAAGATACACAGATGGTAAATAAGCACATGAAAAGATGCTCCACATCAAAGGTCACCAAGAAAAAAATGCAAATCAAAACAATAGTGAGATAACACTGCACATCTATTAGAATGGTTTCAATTCAGGATTCTGACATCAAATACTGATTTGGAGGATGTGGAGCAACAGGAACTCTCCTTCATTGTTGGCAGGAATGCAAAATGGTATAGCCACTTTGAAAAACAAAAAACTAAACATACTTGTACTGTGTGATCCAGCAATCATGCTCCTTGGTAATTACCAAAACGAGACCATGTAAGAACAGGGATTACTTATGAATACAGGAAGAGATAGTTGCAGGAGGAGCCGTGAGAGTGAGGGGTCCAGAGCAGGAGTAGTAGTACAAGGACCCGAAATGAGGCTGGAGAGGCAGACAGAAGGTGAATCATGCAGGGTCTCCAAGGCCATGTCAAGGACTTTAGACTTTTGCTCAAGAGCAATGGAAAGACAGGGAATGGCTTTAGGCAGAGTGAGAGGTGATTACAGCTACATGGGAAATCTAAAGTATTTCAGGAACTTTGTGATTACAATAATAAATCAGCACTGCAACAGATTATCAACAGAGCTTGGAAGAGCACTCTCCAGAGTAAATTCAGTTGACTGTTAAGGAAGATAAATAACTTCACATGGGAAAGTTGCAGAAGAGAGCTCCAGGGGCTTGCAAATTAGGTCAGAGTTGGGGGGTTGGACAAAGCAGAGACCTCAGGCTCTTGTCCCTGAGATAAGAGCCTTGGAAGCAGGAAATGAGAGGTAGGCATTCTGTTCCTTTTGTCACAACCTAAAAGTCTATTTTGAAGGGATATAGGAGCATTTTCCTGTTGCATCTTAGACTTACTATTGATAATTCACAATATTTCAAAAAGGGAAGAATGATTAGGACAGCCAGGAGAACTGCTCCCCACATCAGTGGAGGATTATTTCCCTGGTGTATCACCTGTTCCTAATAGGTGGGCACCTTGTTAGGACAGAAATGGGCAGAGACGGTCTTAGTTTGCAACAAACTCTCAAGGGTCTTTTTTCTTTTCCTATCCAGTCTCTGTCTCAGACTAAACTCTGTGTGACTCCTTTGGTTTTATTTCACAATTTCTGCTACTTAAGGACAAATAGTATCAATGTTGGATTGGGAAAGCTTGTAAAATTCATTGCAGCAGTGGTCAATGGTGATAATTTCTGAGTATAATCCCAATTGTACTTAATGATAACATTAATGTCTATTAAGTACATACTATTTTAAGTACCATACCACCTTAAATTTTTATGCATGTAATTTCTAGAAAAGTATTAATGCACATGTTTCTTTTAAAGATTTTATTTATTTATTTATTTTTAGAGAGAGGGACAAGGGAGGGAGAAGGGGAGGGAGAAAAACATCAGTGTACAAGAGAAACATCCATCAGTTGCCTCTCACACACCCCAAACCTGGGACCTGGCCTGCAACACAGGCATGTGCCTGGCCCAAGAATTGAACCAGTGGCCTTTCAGTTTTCAGGAGGATGCCCAACCACTGAGCCATACCAGTGAGGAAACATACAAATATTTTTTTATTTTAAATGTTTTTAATGAGTGATTGAACAATAACAGGTAGTCATCATTAGTTAACTAGAAACTGCCAATTGAACTTATGCAAATAGATCAATGAGGGAATGAGTACAAGGGAGTCTTACGAAGTTTAAAAAAGAAAATGTGTACATTTATCAGAAAATAAGTCTGGCTGAAGAAGAAATGAGCAATAATCCTCTAATTACCAATATTGAGAAATCTCTAAGTTGGCTTGAAACCCTGCAAAACTCCAGTAAACCTGGCTTTAGCCAGTTACTACCTGATTTGATGGGATTATGAAAGAGAAGTCAAATCAGCACAGACACCCAAGGACGCTTAGATCTCATGTAAAGGAACTGAGGATCATTTTGATTGCATTTAATGGGAACCACCAATTAAGAAGCCTTTTACTGAGTATGAGCAGAGCTAGAAATTCTAAATAAACCATGGAAACTAATGTATAGGAGAGGATGTGTGTGTGTTTGTGTACAGCTGTTGGAAAGTAAAAATTCCATATCTAGTAGCATTTCAACATAAGTATTTAACTGTAATGTTTTATTTGGTATTGCATTTGGTATCTCATAACTGCCCCTTCTCAACTCCTTTTTCCCCTCCCCATTTATTAAACCCAGGGCTAGAACTTAAAGGAGAAAAAGCTGAGAATCTTTTGAATGGTAAAGAGATCAAAACATATGATAATCACCAACATTCAGGATATTGGTTGTTCTCTCAACCCAGGTCCCTGAGTAAAGACTTTCCCTTGGCCCACAGTTGAATGAGAAACAGGCCTTTGTACCCTGGCCAAGTGCTTGATGGGTTGGAGCATCATCATGATATGCCAGGATTGTGGGTTTGATCCCTGGTTAGGGCACATATAAGAAGAAACCAATGAATGCAGAAGCAAGTAGAACACAAATTGATGTCTCTGTCTCTCTCTCTCAAAAAAAAAATAAATAAATAAATAAAATAATATTTTAAAAAAGAAACAGACCTTCCCTGGCTGGTGTAGCTCAGTGGATTGAGCACAGGCCTGTGAATCCAAGGGTCGTGGTTCGATTCCCAGTCAGAAAACATGCCTGGGTTGTGGGCCAGGTCCCAGCAGGGGACACACAAGAGGCAACCACACATTGATGTTTCTCTCCCTCTCTCCTTCCCTTCCCCTCTAAAGATAAATAAATAAAATCTTTTTTTTAAAAAAGAGAAAGAAACAGACCTTTGTAACTGTAACTTACTGAGAGTTTAGAGTTGCTTGTTATTGCAGAATAAATCTAGAGCATAGGTCTAGCTCCCACTAGGAGCTCAACAAAATTTTATTTTGTTTTCCTGAATTGTGCCACAGAACTGAAGCATTTGTAATTTTTAGTTCATGAAACAGTATCAATAGTCATCCATGCGTGTCCCTCTTACATTTTATTTATTCTCTTGAATTTGATTATTTTTATAATGAACATCCATAAACATACGACCCCGGCCAAGAAAGAAAATATTGTCAACAACCTCTTCTAAATATGCTCATTTTTTACTGCATTCTCCTGCTTCCCTGCACTGGGATAACCTTTATCTTGAATTTCTTGTTTCTCATTTCCTTGCATTAAAAAAAATTAATCTGTTTTATCATATGTCTGTAGGCCTAGGCAATATATTGTTTTGGCTTTTGAACTTTATAAAAAAATCTATGTATATATCTCCTGGAACTTGCATTGTTTTTCAATCTAATTCATCCATATTCCTATTCATAGCAGTAATCCTTTAATTTTTTCTGCCATATAATATTGCATTGCATGAGTATTCCAATATTTTATTCAATCTTCTATCAACAGGCATTTGAGTTATCTCATTTTTTTACTATTATGATGTGCTGCTATAATGTTCTTGTACATGTCTAGCAGCAAACATCTGCAAGAATGATGAGAAAAATAAAAATGAGGACACAATAAGATACCTTTAGGTTTAAAGTTATTTGAAATGACAAAAATTGAAAAGTCTATCAAGATCACGTGTTGGAGTGATGAGCATCAGTAGGATCTTGTATACCTTTCTGATGGAGTACAAATACAAACAACATTTGAAATAACTTGGCATTATTCTTAAAGCTGAATATTGGCATAACCTGCAACAAATCTCAATAAATGTTAAATGAGTACATGAATAAGTACAACCTCACAGAATGAGTTAAGATATTTTCTCCCGCTTTCTGTTTTTGCCCCTTACAAGTCCCCTGGTGATTTCTCCATTCCTGTGGATTTCAGTCCCTGGCCCACCCTGTTCCTGTCTGTGTCATGCCCTGACATCTTTCAGGTTACCTTCGCTGCCCAAGTGGATGAGGCATTCTATGTGTAGTCTTCTGTTTACATGATATCAGTATGAGGACTAAATAAGCTAATAAATCCAAAGGGCTTAGAACAGTGTGAGTGCTATATAAATTTTATTATTATTGTATTTCTTTCAGTGCTCTTATAGAAAAATAGCACTATGGTCTAGTACATAATTCAAGTGTTCTTGGCTCCCTGGCTAAATATATTTGTACACTCATTTCCATTTCATTTTGGGACCCAAATATTTGTTTTTTTAAAATATTTTTCCCAATTTCCCCCTGGGAGGTGCCCATAGTGAACAACCAAACTTCAGATGAGTTCCAGGTGTGCCAAAATCATCTGTTACTCAAGAGTCACACTTCCCCTTCCATCCCTTTGAAAGGATGGTTCCACTCTGACATTGCCTGCTCATGGTTATTACACCTAATGAGGACTTTTACTTCACTGCCCCTGGAACCATGCCTTTCCTTACAGTTCTGACTTGTCTAGGGTATGAGTCATTTTTACTTCTTCCCCTTCAATCACACTGCCACCTTGGAACTTACCAACCAGTGCTCAAAATAGCTGATGCTGATCTTATTCTTTTTCTTCTCAAACTATTCAAAATTTCTCGACCACCTTGTAGACCTGTACCAGTCATCAAAGTCAGGTTCCTCTATTGAATTTATTATTGATTCCCTTTCAATAGCTTTATGAAAACTGCTAGAATTTCTCTCCTATATCATGACAAAACATGCATTCAGCCTTGCTATTTGGAGATTTAAAGTGTGTGCAACTTGCTCCGTAGTTCACCAAGTAGAGTTCCCTCTAAGCCAGGAAGGACTTGAAGAGCACAGCTGTAGATTTAGATGAAGCAGTTACCATATTGATCATGTGATCCATCAGGTACAGTCTTTCATTTTCATATCCATCAGGCAGAGATCATCTAAACAAGTCAACTTGCACAGTCCATGAGGGAATTATGTCCTGGGCATCCCAGATATATAGTTTACAGCTCTGGGAAAGGGCTTGTCAGGAGAAAGTTGCTCAGTGGAACTACAGCATGAACAGGTATGGGTCAAAAAGAGAAGAAGAAAAAGAGGTGGGTGACCAAGAAGAGTGGGAGACCAGAATTAGATAACAAGGGCTAAAGAGAGCTCACACACTAGATCATGTGTGCCTTAGAATCATTGAACTTCAGAGCCAAAAGTGACCTTAGACCTGTCCAGTTTAACTAGCTCATTTTACAGGTAGGAAAACTGAGATCATAGAGGGGAATGAACTTGTCCAAGGTCATAGAGCTGTCAGTTGGACAGAAAAGTCTTTCTACACAAAGGTGCTTTTTTTTTTACTTTATTTATTATAAAGGGGCAGAGGGGATTGATGCAAAGGAGATCCCTAAATGATTAAAAATAGAAGGTAAGGAAACACTTTTTGTTCATGTCAAGAAGTTTATCCTAACGTGAAAAAATGCTTCCTGTGCTGAAGGTTAAAAATAATGTAAAAAATACTACAATGAGATCAATGAAAGAAAATTAACCAAGGATTATTATTGTTCCCTGGTCAAAATATGTTTTACCTATTTAGTTACTGGATCCCATCAAATTGTCCAGGATGAGATGTCTAACATCTCCTTTTACAATATGAGAAATTTGGCAATTTGGGGGGTTGTTGTTCTTAGCAGAATACCATTTTAACATTATGTTTCTCAAGATTCTCAGATACCTTCTTCACTCTCCAGTTTTCAAAGCAACTATGTATAATGATCTAGAAGACAGAACAGATTCCCACAGGAAAAAAAATCCTTTATATATTTCTCTCATGTTAATAACACAAACCTAGGAGCATTCTGGGAAGATAGTAAAGTAGGAAGCACCAGTAATCTGTCTTCCCACCTGGACAACAAATGCACTGCCAAAAGTTATCTAATGTAACCGCTTTAGGTAGAGGCTTGGGCAAGTAAATTGTGGTTAATTTCAGTCAATTTCAGCTCTTAGCACAGTAGCAGCCAACCATCTCCCACCCCAGTCCCATGGCCAGCAAATGTACATATGTTCCTAGAGCAGCTTGCACATACCTTGTGGGAGCAAGGTAGGCAGAAAGAACCCAGTCCTCCAAATATTGGGGATCTGTGTTCTCATCACTAATTACTGCTTCTGGTCACAGAGATGTAAACAAAGAGGTAGGTAACAATTATTGCTACATTTCCCTCCATTGTCACCTTCTCCTCCACTGAAGTGACTTCCAGGGAATTTAAGGAGCCAATGCCCTTTCTTTTCTTCCTCTTCATTTTTCATGTTTCCCCATTTTGGGAAGGAGACATTAAAGACAAGGACATTCCAAAGTAACTGCATATACAGGAAAAATTATAAAGTGACCGACCACACATGCTCAAGGAAAGGCATAGGCTCAGAAAAAATCTCAGAAGACCCTAAGTTTGTACCTCAGGCTAATCCTTGGCACAGAGACAGCTTACAGTGATCAAAAGCAAGCAAACAAACAAATAAACCAATAAACAATAACAACAAGCATAAAATCCTGGAGAACTGGAAGAATCCAATATCCAGAGTTACCACATTATGAGACTCAAATGTGCAGTGTTCAACAAATATATCAGAAGGCATACAGAGAAACAGGAAAGTATGGCCCAATTTGAGGAAAAAGCTGAGTCAACAGAAACTGCCCCTGAAAAAGACCTGATGACAGGTCTACTAGACAAGGACTTTGAAACAACTGTCTAAAAGATGCTTCAAGAACTAAAGGAAGATGTGGAGAAAGTCAAGAAGATAATATATGGAAAAAATGGAAATATCAATAAAGATAGAAAATCTAAAAAAAGAAAGAAATTTTAGAACTGAAAAAGTATAATAACTAAAATAAATAAATTTACTAAGAGGATTCAAAGGAAAATTTGAAAAGACAGAGGATCAGTAAATTTAAAGATAGGACAATGGAAATTATTGAGTCTGAGGAATGGAAATGAAAAAGAGTAAAGGAAAGTGAGCAAGACTAAAGGACCTGGAAACACCACCAAAGAGACCAGCGTGTGCATTGTGGGAGTCCCAGAAGGAAAAGACAGAGAGGAAAGGGAAGAGAGAATATTTGAAGAAATGACAGCTACTAAACTCCCAAATTTGATAGAAGGCATGAATATAAACATCCAAAAGGCCCAACCAAGTCCAAGTATGAACTCAAACAGATCCATACTGAGAGACACATTAGGAGAATTAGCTGATTACTAACTGCAGTAAGCTTTTAATATCCTACATAATATTTTGTTCCCTAAGGGAATTCCAATAGATTGTTGAGGAAAGTGATTACGATGTTATCGATTTTAAGGAAATTGGGTCAGGAAGGTCTAGGCCCTCCAAAATGGTATTTCCTCTAACATCAGTAGGTGTCTTTGATCACAAACAATATAACTTGACCCTGAAGAACGTAAGTTTTTTTTTAAAGTTTAGCATTATAACCTAGATAGGTCACAGGATAAAAAATAATGTTGTATACTCAGAAGGATGGGAAGGAAAGCAGTTCTGGGAACCTTGGTAACCAGCACTAATGGACAGGCTGTTCAGGGGACTACCATTGGGATGACATTGTACCATGGGCATCATTAGTATCAAACAGACCACATTGAATAGGGATGGAAAAATCCCCTCCCCTGCAAAAGAGGAGCTCTTTCAAAAAGAAAGGAAAGAATCCTGAGTATGCTAGTGCACAACGTGTGTGTGTGCACATGTGTGTTGCAAATGGGGAGACAAAAGATCTGTTGACAAACCATCTACATTGCAAGCCATGAGAAATTACAGGAGCAGTATTTGCATCTAAATAAAGCCAGCAAGGGACTGTTGAAAGGCATCATTTTCTAGGCTCTACTAGCCAATGCCTTGCACCAACCACTGAAAAAACTGCAAATTGGGAAGTTTTGTCACTGGACAGTGTTGAACTTCCTGGAGAAAGGGAGATAGGGTTACATAAAGTTGCAATATGCTTAGAATACTGACCATAATATGCTTGAAACTGTCCTGCAAGGAAGCCCATGAGCTCTTGTAAGTTTCTCAAGATCTGGTACCGACAGGCACAATTTGGCCAAGCCCTGTTCTTGAGCTATAAGTGTCATCTCAGCACAGACTCACCAGCTCAGTCAGCTCTGATGATCCTTTCCAGAGAGATGCCTTTGACTCATCGTCATGCCTTGGGGAGTTCATCCACTATAGGTGCACATTCTCTCTGTGGGAAGGAAGGCCTTGCCAGAATATTCACATTACTTAAATTCTTAGTCAGCCCTGGAGAGAAGGGTTTATGTTACAAAGGGTAATGAAATTTAGCCTGAGGGCCTAGAATGAGACAGATACTGTTTTCACTGGCCAGCTTCTTCAGCTCTGTGCAATCAGCACTTTCCTCATTTCCTCTATGTAACTGCTTAAAGCCAAACTCTGAGTCCCTGTCTTCTAAGGTCAGTCAAGATAGAAGAAGACCGGGGGAGTTTGGGGTATATTATCTGGGTTTCTATGTCACAATAACCATGACTGCTATTTCTGACTCCATTCAACAGTATTTCTCCAAATGACACAACTATATCTATTTATTCAGGACTGGTTATATAATTTGTGGGGGCCTGTGCAAAATGAAAAGGTGGGGCCCTATGTTTAAAACTTAATGCGAATTTTAAGACTGCAACAGCATTGAATAAACTACGTGCAGACCTTCCTGAGTGCAAGGCCCTCGGGCACAGGTTGCAGGCCCATGAAGCTGACCCCATGTCTGTTTCTTCCAGCCCACTTGTCATTATACTGCCCGTGTTTAAACTACCTGTTGGTGTCCCTTTCTTCCTGGTCTTTCTCTGGCCTGTCTCTGTTCACAACTACATATGCACAGTCTTGTACCACTTAACAATGAGAATGCCGTCTGAGAAATGCATCATTAGGTGGCTTTGTCATTGTGCAAACATCATAGAGTGCACCTACACAAACATACATGGCATATAGCCTACTGCACACCTTGGCTATGTGGTGTAACCTGTTGCTCCTGGGCTATAAGCCTGGGCAGCAAAGCTAAATCAAACACAAGAGAAAATGATGTGTTCAAAAGATGCAGTAATTACAGTATTATTGACTATATTTCCTATACTGAACTTTACCTCCCTATGACTATCTTGTAAGTACCAATTTGTATTTCTTAATCCCTTCACCTTTTCTACACATCCCCCCAACTCCCCTCCCATCTAGCAACTGTCAGTTTGTTCTCTGTGTCTATGAGTCTTTTCTGTTCCATTTGTTCATTTATTTTGCTGCTTACATGCTAGGTGGGCACTTCAAATATCAAAGGGGATCAATTTGTAAATCATAATTGTCTAACCACTATACTGTACACCTGAAACTAATATAAAGTAATATTCAAAGTCAACTGTAATTTTTAAAAACTATTTTTTTAAGATGCAGTAAGAAAGGAATGCATGAGGCTGTAGCCTGCATAGCACAGCACACTGTTTTACACCAAACTGTGGGGCTTTTTATTAGTAAAAAGACTACACTTTAAAATAAATATAAATAGTAGAGAAAGGTAAGATGGTGACATAGGCAGACATGGCTCACCTCTTTGCACAACAACATCAAAATTACAAATAAAATATAGAATAACCATCTACATGAAGATGAAATCAGAACCATCAGAAACAGTGTTGAATGGAAGTCTGACAACGATGGAATTAAAGAAACCACATCAACCCAGACTGGTATGGGCATGATACCTTACACATGAGTGGTGGATAAAAATTCGGCAAGGATATCTTGGGAGAGAACACTACTAGACCCATACCAGGACCCCTAAGCCAGGGTTCCAGTGCCAGAAAGATAAGTCCCTACAACTTCCAGCTGCAAAAACTAGTGGGAATTGAGTTGGTGGAAGAAACTTCTGGAGTTCCAAGCACTTCCTATTAAACAACTCACACATGGACTCACCTACTCAGACTCACTCCCTCTGAGCTCCAGCACTGGGGTAGCAGCTTGAAATGCACCAGAGGCATACAAGGAGGAACTGAAGTGTCTGGCATCAAGGCGAGCAGAAGCCATTGTCCCTTTCCTAAACACTACACCCACAGAGTTATCAAGCTGGTGCCACATCTGAGACACCATCAGCCTAGCTAACACTGTTTGACCTGCCTTGGAGATCCCCAGAGACTCTGCCCCACCCAAATTACTGGCCCACCCAAGATGCTTTTCCACATGAATAGCTGGTGTTAGCTCATGCTTCACAACTTCCTAAATCCTATCAAACAAGCAACAGCTGGCCTCAGTGAGCCCCAGGCCCAGCACCAATAGCAGGAAACCTAGATGCTCAGCCTGGAGCATCTTTGACTTTGACTGGAAATCTCCAAGTCCAGCATAAGTAGCAGCCATCCCAGATTGCTTGATAGCTCATGAAACATGGCCCCGGGCAGAACACAGGTTGAGGATGATCTTGGCCTGCACCACCCAGAAAACGCCAGAGCCTGTGCACCTAGTGGACAGCTACAGACCACATCAGAGCACTACCAACCTGCCCATGCATAGTTGATCCTCCATGGAGGGTGGAGGTTGGTGGTCAGTGGTCACAGCCCAATCCTTGCAGCTGAGTGGCATGGTAAATCCTTCCCATTGACCTGCCAATGGCAACCAACCCTCAACTATAAGAAGAGGGTGTACTCAGCCCCAAAAGAAGGGTGTACCTCAAGTACCCAGTTTGTGTGATAGAGGAGGCTGTGCCATTGGACCCTACAGAACAGCTACTGCATTAGACCACAATACCAAGGCAGGGAGTTATAGCAACTCTACCTAATACATAGAAACAAACAGAGGGAGGCTGCCAAAAGGGGACAAATAAACATGGCCCAAATGAAAGACCAGATCAAAACTCCAGAAAAAGAGCTAAACAAAATGGAGATAAGCAATCTATCAGATGCAGAGTTCATAACACTGGTTATAATGATGCTCAAGGAACTTGGTAAAGACTTCAACAGCATAAAAATGATCCAGTCAGAAACAAAGGATTCACTAATTGAAATAAAGAACAATTTATAGGGAAACAACGGGAGAGTAGATGAAGCTGAGAATCAAATCAATGATATGGAACATAAGGAAGCAGAAAACAACCAATCAGAATAACAAGAAAAAAAGAAAACAAATAATTAGGGTAGTATAAGCAGCCTCTGGCACAACTAAAAAAGGTCCAACATTCACTTTATAGGGGTGCCAGAAGGAGAAGAGAAAGAGCAAGAAACTGGAAATCTATTTGAAAAAATAATGAAAGAATACTTCCTTAATTTGGTGAAGGAAATAGACATGCAAATCCAGGAAGCACAGAGAGTCCAAAACAAAATGATATAAAGAAGCCCACTCTAAGATACATGATAATTAAAAGGCAAACGGTTAAAGATAAAGAGAGAATTTTAAAAGCAGTAAGAGGAAAGAAGTTAGTTAGCTACAGGGGAGTTTCTATAAGACCATCAGTTGATTTCTACAAATAATCTTTGCAGGGTAGAAGGGATTGGCAAGAAATATTCAAAGTGATGAAAAGCAGGGACCTACAGCTGAGATTGCTCTACCCAGCAAAGCTAGCATATAGAATCAAAGGACAGGTAAAGAGCTTCTCAGACAAGAAAAAACTAAAGGAGTTCATCATCACCTAGCCATCATTATATGAAATATTATAGGAATGTATTTAAGAAAAAGAATATCAAAACTATGAACAATAAAATGGCTACAAATACAAATCTATCAACAATATAATCTAAAAAACAAAAGAAGCAAACAAGAACAGAGACAGAATCATGGATACAGAGAATATTGTGATGGTTGCCAGATGGGAGGAGGATGTAGGGAAATGGATGAAGAGGTGAGGGAATTAAGTACAAATAGGTAGTTACAGAATAGCCATGGGGATTTAAGGTACAGTAAAGAATATGGGGTTTCTCAAGAACTTATATGCATGACCCACAGGCATGAAGAATGGCAGAGAGATTGCCTGAGGGAATAGGGGGGTGATGTGTGGAGGGGGCAAAGTGGGAAAAATTAGGACAACTGTAACAGTATAATCAATAAAATATAATTTTTAAACAATTTAAAAAGGAAGTATAGTATAGTTAATACTATAGTAAACTATATATAACTATAGTTATATATAGTACACACATAGTAAATACATAAACCAGCAAGACAATTGTTTATTATCATTATCAGGTATTATGTCCCATACACCGTTCCATATGCTATACTTTCCTATGACTGGCAGCGCAGTAATTTTGTTAATACCAGCATCGCCACAAACAAGTGAGTAATCCTTCTGCTAGGATGTTAAAATGGCTACTGTCACTAGGCAATAGGAATTTCTCAGCCCCATTATAATCTTATGGGACCATCATTTGTGGTCCATCATTGATCAAAATGCACAGCATATCTGTATAATGTATATAATAAATGTATAAACTATAATACTTATAACATAATATATAATACTTGTATATAATAAAGTGTGTAATAATAACTATATGTATTAGATATTTATTTTTTCAACTTTATTGAGATGTAATTGACATGTACCATTGTATTAGATTAAGATATACAACAGAGATTTGATATGTAATATATTCCAAAATGATTGCCACAATATGTTGATTAACATCCATCACTACACAGAGTTACAACTTTTTTTTGTGATGAGAATTTTTAAGACCTACTCTTTTAGCAACTTTCAAATATACAATACAGTACTGTCAACTATAGTTACCATGCTGTACATTATACCCCTGGAATGTATTTATGTTATAACTGAAAGTTTGCACCTGTTGACCACCTTCACACATTTTGCTCTGGCAGCCACCATTCTGTTCTGTTTCTATGAGTTCTGTTTTTATTTTTTATTTTTGGTTTCATGTACAAGTGAGATCATGTGGTATTTGTTTTTCTCTGTGGGACTTATTTCACTGAGCATGAACCCTCAGGATGTTAACTGTTACAATGGTCTTCCTCTCCCTTCACTCTACCCTTTACTAGAATTCTCACCGTAGATCTGTAAGTGAAGAAGAAACTTCCCTCTGCCCCTCAATGTTCTTTTTGCTAGCCTAATAGTTAAATTGACATGATAACAACCAAATTTAATTACATACCTATGCCCAGGAACCCCACATGCATGAGAGAGTCCTCACATGCATGAAAGGTTCAGAGGCAGAATGTTAAGCTGAGGTATCTGACATTCTGAACTAAAGATGTGAGAAGACATCTTGGGACTTCGGAGCGGAGGGAAGGTCACTGCAGGACAATAAGAAGAGCAGATGTTCATTAGTTAAAAGTTTGCCCTGCCCTATTGATAAGTTATAAAGAGTTATTTCTGGTAACAACTCATTATGGGCAAGGCCCCTAATTTATACTCTTTAAGGGAGAGGTAAAAGTTTCTTGTGAGTTTACAGGGTCTTGATTGCCTTCAACACAAATAATTCCCATACCACACATTGGGGTGACTTGTTCTGAATCCCTACAGCACCCTCCAGTAGAAAGTGTGATCTAGGCTGGGCTTTCAAGATAACCGTGAAGCCTGTGAAGGAAGTCTGTCTGTACACAGCAGCCTTCTTACTCAGGAGTGGTCACATTGATCCACTCTCTACACATTTCTAGAACCTTCCTCCTACTCTACACTGGCCATCAAGCCCTCAAGCATCAGGGTGGGGCTGTCTGGGTTACCCCAGTGCCTAACTACTTCGTACATCTACCCCTGCAGGAAATCTCGGCAGACCATTTTTCATCTCTCCACTCCCAACATGTAACTCTTTCCACAGCAACTTCCTGATAACAGAACTTTTTTACTTTCTTTTTTGTTTTAGTTTTTTCATTTTACTCATTTTTTACCCTGAAGGTAGAGTTAATATGTCAGACAAAAAGAACCATATAGATCAAGAGAGATATTTGGAGCAAATAACTGTAGTAGAGTGCCTGTGGACATCAGACAAGTTTATGTTGGGATTCAGGACAGCAGGGCTTACTTCTCTGGGTTTTTTTCCCATTCTTGCCAGAGAAGTGGGGGTGCTCCCTCCATTTGGCCCTTGACTACACTTGCTTGGTAAGAAAGAAAGAACTGAGATTTGGAGTAAGACCTACCTATTGGAGTGAGACCTGAATTCATGATTAACTTACTTTATGGCCCTGGACACTGTTTCTAATGCTTCTATCTGGGCCTCAGTTTCCCCCATCCTGAGATTGATGTGTAAAGCATCTCAGAAAATGGTTGTTCTCTGACTGCATCCTGGCTGACTCATTCTGGAGAACAAGGGAGAGAGGAACACACACGCTCAAGCGCCCAGGGACAGACTGGGTGTGGTGTGTATCCTCAGAGGAGGACCCCGGGGCGTGGTGAGCCTCTTGCTTTCCCTTCCCCAAATCACTTCCCCTACTGGCTTCCTGCAGCTCGGACCACCCTCAAGTCACCTCAGAGCTTCCTACCAGCACTCTTGGCCCTCCCTTAATCCTCCCAGAGCAAACACGTTAGTACCTGCTGTTCAAAAACAAAGTTTAGAGGTCTATTTGGGCATAGCCAATGGCATAAAAAAAGCACTTGGCCTTGATCTGCATTTGGCAATCAGAGAGCTTCTGAGGATATGCAGCTGATGCATGTGATTCAAGCAAAGAAATCCCCTTTTCCCCTTTCCTTCCCAACTTGTTCTATTTGCAGAAGGCCATCCATAACTGCTTAAGAATTTCATTCATGGACTAATATCTTTCTGCACCAGCTTCCCCACACTCATGCATTAAACTCTTGAGGTTCTGAGGTAACTAAGATTTATTTCCTTCACCCCGTACATAAAAGTTAAGGCAAGGCCCCAAAAGTCGTTCAAGGTGTCCACCCAACTATATTTTACTTAGGGACACATAACACCAGCTCCCCCCTGCATCCAACTAAGCCTCGCCTGGCCTTCCTCATTAAACCCCTTCATGCCCTCCACTCCACAATGCCAGCCCCGCCCTTGTTGCTGCTTCCTGCGTCTTCACCTAGGCTGACCAAGGGTCTCCTGTGCAAGTGAGTGTCTCTACAGTGGAGATCTAAAAAGGTTTTCTATAAAGGGCCAGATAGTGAATATTTTAGACTTTCTGGACCAAGAGACAAAATTAAAGATATCCTACAGGTATTTACCTAACCTTTTAAAATGAAATATTTTTTTACCTTTATTAATTTTGATTTTCAATTCCTGTCAAATAGGCCTAGTCATTTTTGATAGTCTTATTTTTTACTCATCCATTTGATAACATTTTTCTTCTTTAAGCATATAAATACACTTACATTTATTCCATTATCAATAACTGAATATTTGAAGTGCTTGTCAGCTGGTCTGTTGTCTGTTGTTTTTGCCAGTTCTCTCTCATGCCTTTTTCCTCCCGTGAACTGGGGTTCTTTTTTTAATTGCGAACTCCAGTTTAATGGAACTTTCTACCTGAGAATCTTTGAGGCTTGTGATAAAGTAGATTCTTTTAGCAACGATATGATTTATTTCTAGACTAAGCCTGCTACCAACTCCAGGCCACATTAAAACAAATTATCCACTGGTGTTTTACAAACCACACTGAGAATGTCAACTTGGCTGCAAGCCTCCATAAAGATTAACCTGTGGTTATAAATTCTTGGACTTTTCCTCCTGCTATTTAGAGCCAAGGTTAAGACAGGCAAGTTTCCTTTTGATCCTGTCCAGTAGGGAATGAAGTTATAAAACTTCTAGTTTAAACTGTCACTGGGGAGCTATCCTTTGGGGTCCAAAGTAATTTACAGGAGTGTCTGGTCTGACTTTTCACCTTCCCCTAGGCTTTATCTCACATTTGCCACGCAGATATTAAAACCAATTCTCTGAGTCACTTGGAGGTAGACAGAGATCCCAGGGGAGCCTTCAGCCTCAACACTTATCTCTCTGAATTAATGCTTCCTTAACTGTTTATTTTGCCTCTTACTTTCCGGTCAGCATAGTGATGTACTTAAAAATACTTTTCAAAATAATTAAAAGGTTTTTAGGTGTCTTAAAGAAGAAAACTTTTAAGGATATCCAGATCACATGTTACCTCTGGTATGTGTTTTAAAAGCTCTAATCTCCTCAAAATATGGATTCAATAGTACCCCAGCATTTGAGATGGTCACCAGTGTTTGCCCCTTGCTATAATTCTCTTTTATGTTGTATCATGGAGGGTCTGAGTGACCAGTAAAATACAGCAGAGGCAGGGCTTTGTCAGAGACCTCATCATTAAAGGCACTGAAGTTCCTATATGTGCTTTCCCTCTTGAATCGCTCATTCTGGGATAAGCCAGCTGCCATGCTGTGAAAACACTCACATAGGGGTGACCCATGAAACTGGGCCTCCTTCCCACAGCCATGCATGTGAGCTTAGAAGCAGATCCTTCAGCCCCAGTCAAGGCTTCAGATAACATAGATCTGGCCAATATCTTGATTATAACCTCAGAGAGACCTCAGGCAGACCTATTCAGCTACAAGGCTCCAGAATTCCTGACCCTGAGAAACTGTTAAATGTTTATTATTTAAAAGCTGCTAAGTTTAGGAGAATTTATTACATAGTAATAGATATCAAATATAAACACTCCCTGATCTACCTGTAATTCTAAAAATTTTAGAAATATTTTATGGCAACATGCCCAGAAATTCCTCATTTGTACCTCTGTTATGTGGGTGAGTTAACATTAATACTTAACCCAACATTCTTTTGTATAACTTCTTACCACCCCTCAGAAACCAGTGCTGGAGTGCCCAGGACACAGGATGGGCAAGTTCCGTTGCAGAGAGTGCTATGGTCTTCAGTCAAGACAGCTCTGAAGAGGGGCCCGTTGTGAATGGTGAGTCCAAGGGGGTAGCCTGAGGGCATGAAGTGACTGGGGCCACTGAGCTGAAGCTCTCTCTGCACCATCGCTCACACTGTTTTCTCCCCGTTGCAGTCCTGCTGGGCCTTCCCTGGTTTTCAAAGACCTACTCGTTTCTCATTCAACTCAAGACTTACGTTCTCAGTGCAGCCTTCTCTACTTGAACAGAAGTGAGTGATTGCTCATTCCCTCTTGTCCACTATAGTGCTCGGGCAGCACAGAGCATGCTCTGCCTACCTCCAAAATTAGATTTGAAATGCCTAGGCATCTTTGTAGCCCACACCACACCCTAGAACCTGCTCTGCACAATGATGCTGAGGAAGGCCCACTTTGGAAATACTGTAGTTTGCCGTGTATAATGTGTACTTTTTTGCCCAAATTTTTGAGGGAAAAATAAGGATGTGCATTATACATGGGTAGTACCTGAAATAGTTGGTATCTCTCTGTTCTTGTGTTTTAATTACTTGTTACATAAAATTTCTTGTATCATAATACATTAAAAAATGCATGCTAAAATTCCTTTATTATACAAAAAATAAGTCTCTAAATATGAATAATTAAAACTGAATTAAAAAATAAAATTGAAAGATTCTTTTCCTGAAAGTTTGGGCCAAAAACATGGGTGCTCATTATACACAGCAAAATATGATAGTTTACCTGCCCCAAAAGGACTATTTTGATTTAGGCTGTAGCCTTAAATGAGATGTTTTAGTCTTCTAGCACTCAGCTTCCTTGCGGGTGGGAGGGGGACACCCCTGCAGTGGGAGCTTCCCAGGGCCACCAGGTGCGGCTACAGTGTGTGCCTTCCACAGAGGGTCCCAGCTGAGGGTGACAGGGGCTGAGATCCAGCCACCACTCCCCTCCCCAAATCTGGTACCTGCCAAGAAAAGGGGGGGCATTTTTGTAATTAGCCCACCCAGAGGGGACCGTGTAACAGGCACAGGGGTGCTCTCTGTGCTAGCAGCACCCTGCACATGTCACAGTGTGAAGTGATGTGGTCCTGCCAGCTGCAGCCCGCCCTCAAGTACAGGTCCCTGGGCTCTGCTGCTAGGAGTCCTGAGTTCATCAAATAACCCCAGGTGGAAAGTCGGTTCTGTTTCTTGAGCAAATGGTGAAGAAGTGAATGTCATTTGCTCTCTTCCCTCTGTGACTGATGGTACCTGGCCATGGCCTTGATTCGGATACTTTTTTTCTGGCTAGGATTCCTGCAGGTTGGTGCATAACTCTCTGCCTGACTCCTGGTCATTCTCTCCTTTTGGTGCGTTTTAATGTTCCTTGTTTCCTGGTTAAACAAGTTTCAGTGTTAGTATTTAAACATCTGCTTTTAATAAACCCTGCAGGGTGTTTCCATTTGTGCAAACGGAAGAATAAGTCAGATCAATGGGCCTTGCAACAGCCACTTGAATGAGGTCATGATGAGAGCATGGCCCTTTTGTCCAAATGTACAATAGTATAGGCACTCCCTTCCGCCTTCTTTATAAAGTCTGCCATATCCCTGGACAACCTCCTATGGCCAAGAGAAGATACTCATTTTTCCTTAGATTAATTACCAGACCATGTTCTCGATTATATGTATATAAATCCAAAACCTATATTAACTTTGTAACCAAATTTCCAAACCATTCTAACTTGCTGGAAATTGATGCACATTCTCAAACTTATCATATCATTTCTTATTATGACTTTCCACAACAAGAAAAAAACTGCCATTCCAAAAACCCAGCTAGAATCCTAAATACTTTTAAAAAGCAAAGACCTATGCATATTTTTGTTCGTAACTCTGTACCAAACGGTCAATTATTCATAATATGTTTCATCCACATAGTCAATAATAGGTATGACACAAGGTCTAAAAGCCAAGGACCAGAATCTCATGTTGTCCTGGATGCCTGGGGTCCCCAAAGAGCCTAGGGCAGCCTGCTTGTGTCTGCCAGTGTCTGTGTGTTCTTTCATTGCTCTTTGTCCACCCCAGACCTTGTTTTTCTTTAGCTGGGTCCACATTTTACAGCAGTAGTGTTGGAGATTTGCTTTGGGCTATGGTTGAAAGAAAATTAGGGAAGTCTTCCAAAAATATAGATACCAACAAGTACCAAGTGCCTGAAATCCAACACGAATGAGGCCTCTTTGCTTTTAGGTGTTAACTTTCCCTAGGGTCCCCCAATTTCTTTCCCCCCAACATTTTATTATAAAAAAATAACTAATATTATTATGTCAGGAGACCAAAATAATAATTTCTATATGTCAAACATACAGAAATATTGATAAAACTGTGCAGTAAATACTTCTAAACCCTAGATTCCACAATGAGCATTTTTGCTATATTTGCTTTATCACACATTTAAGCATCTAACCACCCATCAAGGTATCTTATCCTTTTAAGATTTTATTTACTTACTTTTGGAGAGAGGGGAAGGGAGGAAGAAAGAGAGGAAGAGAAATATCGATGCAAGAGAGAAACATCTATTGGTTACTTCTCACACGCCCCCAACCGGGGACCTGGCCCACAACCCAGGCATGTGCTCTGACTGGGAATTTCCCAACTGCTGACCTTTCAGTTTACAGAACAACACTCAATCCATTGAACATCACCAGACAGGGCTGCATCATATAATTTAATGTATTTTGGAGTATACTGCATGTAACAGGGTGCAGCCAAGATGGTGGCCCCAAATAGGGATTTGTAATGGGGTCCAGAACTCAAGTTGTCCAGGAAATATTAGAAAAAATATATATAGGATTTCCTCACCCCCACAACTCTGAGCTAGGGGAATGGGACACATGGAGCAGGGCCATTGGGAGCTGTGTTGTATAGCAACAGCTTTGCAGCTAACCTCTGGCATGGTCATTTAACATATCTATAAACTTTAACTGGTGTCATGGATATGTTAAATACCTGTGGTATGCTTTGAGCCAGGGGGATGGAAGTGACTTCCACCCAAGATGTAACTGGAAGGCACCTCCCCCTGGTTATAGAGCCTGTGTGGGAGCTTGGAGATGATTGGCTCCATGTCATGGGGCCACACCTGCCCAGACTCACTGTGGCAGCCCCCAAAAGCTGGAAAAATACAGGAATGCTGGCAGGTGTAACTGATTGTAGGAGGAGTCAGAAATGGGACTGCAGAGAAAGATTGGCGCGGAGATTTAAACCCAGACATGGCAGCCATCCATACCAAGGAGAACCACGCGGCTTTGGCAGAGTGAGGACCTGTGGCTTTGGGGTGCTCCCTTTTGCCATGTGGCTTAGGAAGCAGGAGAGACTTTGCCTGGAAGAAAAGGGGTGAAAGGACTCTTGCTGATGGGCCATGAGAAGGTGCCACATGGCTTTGGATTAACTGGAGATCCTGGCAGCAACACAGCTGATGGTGCTGGAAGCCTGAATCACAGACTTCTACTTCTTTTCCTGAGATACGGTACCCCAGATTAGGACAGAGGGAGAAGGAAAGACTGTGTGCATCTGTGGGTATTCTAACAGATTTTAGTATTTTAATGAAGACATTGAGTCACTACTCTAAGTCTGTATAGATTTAAATAAATAATTCCTTTTCAGAAATCTCTGGCATTGAGAGACATCTTTTTTCTGGCAGCAGACATAGCGAACCTAGTGGGGAGACCCCTGGAGAAAAAGGGGGGTCCTTTTGGTAATCACATATCATTCACCAACACCGTCTGTTCTGTAACATGCAGACATCAGTGCACTGCACCCCCAAGTTCTGCAGCATGCTCACCATTAATTAGAGATCAATATTTGTTTACAGTTCCCTTTTTTAATGTATTATGTACATAAAATGAAATGCACAGATCTTGAATGTGTCAATGAGCCTTACTTTGGACTCTTTTAAAATGTAATTATTCTCCCTACCCCCTGCCTTAGAATAACCCTTTAAGTCACTCATGCCTGAGCATGAATTGAATTAACTTGTTTCTTTTCTTCTTCATAAGGAGAAATGCACAGCTGGAAAAATATATATATAGAAAGTGAAAGTATATAGAGGTAAAAATCTTCTACTCCATTAATTTGCCTATTTGGAGATAAATAGCTATTATTTTTTGAAGTAGCTTTTTAAAAAAAATCTGAAAACACCTTTTCATTGCTTTTGGAGAGGGGGCAAGGGAGAGAAAGATGGGTGTGAAAGAGGAACCCTGGGGACCCAGACCCAGGATCATACGCACCCAGACCAGAGATCGTCAGTGCTGGAACCAGGGATCAAACCCACAGCCCAGGCACGTGCCGGGACTGGGAATCCAGCCCACAACACTTTGGTTATGGGGTCAGTGCTCCAACCAACTGAGCCATACCAGCCAGGGCTATAGTAAGTAGCTCTTAATTTTGGAATATATTTTTTATTCCCAACAACATTATTGTGCAAATCAGTTTTCCTAGGTAGCATCACCATCTTTAGTAGCACTTGTGTGCTACTAAAACCTTCCATGTGTCAGACACTGAACTAATTTCTTTATATGCACACATTTAATCTTCACAACAATCATATGATGGTCATAATGATTTTTGTTATTATTATTACTTTACAAATGTAAGAACAAAGGGCAAGAGCAGTTTGAAAACTTGTTCAAGGTCACAAACACACAGCTTGTAAATGGTGCACAGGAGCTGAGAACCCGCACATCTGACCCCCAAACCTACTCAACAGTCAACATTCCAGCAACACATACTTACCAAGCACCTGCTAACTCCCCTCACAACCCACGCATCAGACACACAGTGGTAATCAAAACAGACTTGGTGTCTAGGTGAGCTTACAGTTTTACTAGAGGAGATATGTTAAACACATACACACACCAATTTTGTACAGTAAATGAATTTCCATAGAAATCATGAGTGACGGGTTTTATTATGCCTCATTTAACAATGAAAAAAAATGAAATTCCCTAGAATAAGACTGGTCAAAGATCACGGTTCTAATAAGTAGGTCAGCAATATTGAAAAAAGCCCAACCACAAATGTCAATCATTAACAGCACATGAACATTTTCCTTGTGGAGAAGACTTTCTCAGGTAAGGTGAAGACAAAAAAGTGAATACAATCCTCAAAATTCCTAGACTGAAACGGAAACAACAAAACAAATTCAATTGAGCAAGGACAACAAATTGCATAGCCTTACCTTGTATCCATCCTGGCTAGAGAAAGGTGAAGTCATCCATTGAGTAAAGATCATCAAAGAAGAAACAGGCATTGGAAAACTGAGTAACATGGAGCAAAATGTTCCCAAAGAAAACAAACTTGGGGGCAGGGTGGGGTGGGGGAGGGATCTGAGAGACACTCTTTTTAGAGAACTTGTTTCAGACAGCAGGAGAGCAGGACCTGCTACTATCTCTGCTTTGGTGCTTCTGAGCAGCTGCACCCACATTTCCACAGTTATTCAGAGCTCACATATACCTAGGACCAATTGCAGCAACTGAGGCAAACAACCCTGAGTAGGCACCGTAGGAAAGTGGTAGGGCACAAGTTCATCAGTAGGGACTATGGGAAATCAAATTAGATTGCATTGGAGTTTTTTGTTTCGTGTCCTAGTGAATGGGAGAGCAACATAACTGCAATGATTGTAAAAAAAAATAATTAAATCAGACTCTCCGGGGATGGGATCCAGACATCAGTACATTGGAAGAGCTCCCTGGGTTGATTCTAATGTGCAGCCAGGATGAAGAACCACGGGCACTGGAGGAAGAGCCTGAGGGCTGATGTCAGGAAACTGGGTTTGAATTGCAGCTGTAAATTACCAGCCTTGTGGCCTCAGAGCAATTTACTAATCTCCTCATTCTGTTTCCTCATCCACAAAATTGAGATGAGAATGTGTACTTCATAGAGCTCTTGTGGTTTTCAATGAGACGATGTAAGCCAGGCATCTAACACAGTGCCTGGTATAGCACTGAGGCCCGATTACAATGAATGAGGGCGTTCTTTGCATATTGCCTGGTAACAGGAAGTACATGTCCGATTTGGGTGATTTTTTTGATCGCCACCCATCCAACTGTGCCTGCATAATTAGGAGATACCAAAATGACTTGCTCCCCTGTTACACACACACACACACACGTAATACAGAGGGCTCCGTTAAATTTTAATTTCAGAAAAATTATAGGAAAATTTTAGTCTTAAATATTTCCCATACAATATTTGGACCATAGTTATACCAAATAAATTTATATACTATTTATCTGAAATCAAACTTAACTGGGTGTCCTGTATTTTATCTGGCAGCCCTATTGCATAGTAGGTTTTATGACAGAGATTCTAGGTAGAAATGAAGAGGACAGAGAGTTCTAGAAATAATTAAAACCAAGATATGAAAAATGGCAGGCAGATGGACTGCTGAGATAACTCATAAGGAAAGATCATACCTAACTGTGTAGTTAGGAAGGGCTGAAAGGTGGTATTTGTACTTGGCCTTAGAAGGTAAATAGAATTTGCCTACATGTGAAGGAGGAAAGGTGGCATTTCAGGCCACCGTAGTGGGGTAAGCAAGGGCGTGGAGGCGGGGTAAACTTAGAGCTAATCTAGCTAAGAATAATAAATTGAGCTGAATTAGAACCCAGTGTTTTCTGTCTTGAGAGTCCGTGCCTATCAAACTCTACTAATTACAGAACAATGAGGTCTACACAGGGCAGCAGCCAGTGACAACAGTTAGTTGAGAACAAACTCTCCAGGGAGGAGAATGCCAGGCCATGTCCTATGGGCTTAATTAAGTTAAAAATAATAAGGAAAGGTACAACCTTTTGAGGACACTACATGCCCAAGCCTTAACTAGCAGAAGGACTCCAGAAACCTTTGGGACTGAAGATGAGGAGAGCAGCAGGGTCACAAAACTGGCCAGTTGGCCAGATGCTGTCTCCACCACTTCAAGCCCACACCCTATGTGGACATCCCCAGCACGTGTAACTTAGTGTGACTGGGAACCAAAGAGGCCTGCAGCAGTTCACTGGCCAAAGATGCGTTCGGCTTCAGCTAGCTATCAGAGTTCCAGGCACCACAACCATTTTGTTCTTGTTTTTACCAAAAAAAAAAAAGCTTCAAAAGTGTGAATCTCCATTGTAAGTCAGTGAAAAACAGAAAAGCAGTTTAGCAGGCTCGCCTGTGATTGTGCTGACTCTGCAAATGCTTTCCTGGTGAGTAGCTGGGTCATGGCAACAGCCATTCTAACCTTATCTTGTTTACAAAAATGTGTCTTCTCGACCAGTTGTTCCTCTTGTGGAGGGCGAGGTTGGTCGAGACTTTGGAATGGGGACGGGCAGTAAAAGTGGGTAAACATGCATCGTGCACTGTTAGCTACCACTGACTCACTGGAGAGTACCTGGTCTCTCAGGCCTGCATGTCCCCAGAGTACCTCATCCTGAAGAGCAAATTCCTCACCACCCAGGTACTCACCAGTTTACGCATCCATCTGCGGCTCTGGAGAGAGGTAGGGCCCATTTACGATCACAGCTGTGATCTCAATATTGAAGAGCTTTGTGAATGATACACACTCGGGGAGCAGAGTCCTGTAGGAAGGACATAGAGTGAGACCTTTTCTGGCCAAAGAAAGGGCAGCCCTGGCCACCAACACAACAAAAACAACTGCTGTTCTTGTCTGTACCTGCCATTTGGTAGGTGCTGTGAAGCTGTGAAAAGTGGGCAAATTTCTTCTGTAATTATGAGTAAGCTCACTTAAAAGTGTTTTACATTGTCTACTGAATGTGACTCAGAGATACCATAAAACTAATTTATGGGGATCAAAATGAGAATAAAGGTTTTCCCTCAGGGTGGAGGAATGGTTCACTAGAAAGGGGCCCCAAGTAATTAATTATCCAGGGTGATGGGAAGAGTCATGTCTTGATTGGGGTGCTGGTTTCAGGGGGAATACATTTGTTACAACTCATCAATCAGTACACTTAAGATCTTTACATTTCATTGTATATTATACCTCAATTTAAACTTTTTTTTCAGTGCCTGCTCCCTGAGTCTACAGTCCAGAGTCCTTGGAAATCATCTCTCACTGGAGCCTGAATAAGCCCTGTGACCTAAGAAAGGACTTCAGCAAATTCTATATCCCCGTAAAGCACCCCAGAAAACCATGGTAGTCACAGTCCTGTTTCAAAAGTTTGATGTTTAAATCTTTTACAGCTATGTGTTTTGTGTTTTAATGTTTGTTTTACATTTTAACATGCATCCCCCAATTGGCCTAATAGATATGTCATTGTAGACATATTTCTTTTTTTTTTTACTTATTTATTTTTTGAGAGGGAAGGGAGGAAGATAGAGAGAGAGAGAGAGAGAGAGAAACATCAATGCGAGGTTGCTGGGGGTCATGGCCTGCAACCCAGGCATGTACCCTGACTGGGAATCGAACCTGCGACACTTTGGTTCGCAGCCCACGCTCAATCCACTGAGCTACTCCAGTCAGGGCTATATTTCTTTTTTTTATAATATATTTTATTGACTATGCTATTAGAGTTGTCCATTTTTTTCTCCCCTTTATTCCCCTCCACCATGTTACCTCCTTCCCACCAGTATTCCCCTCCCCACCCTGCACCTTAGTTCATGTTCATGGGTTGTACATATAAGTTCTTTGGCTTCTCCATTTCCTATACTATTCTTAACCTCCCCCTGTCTATTTTCTACCTACCATTTATGCTTCTTATTCCCTGTACCTTTTCCTCCCATTCTCCCCCTCCCACTCCCAGCTGATAACACTCCACGTGATCTCCATTTCTGTGATTCTGTTCCTGTTCTAGTTCTTTGCTTAGTTTGTTTTTGTTTTTCTTTTTAGGTTCAGTTGTTGATAGTTGTGAGTCTGTTGTCATTTTACTGTTCATAGTTTTGATCTTTTTCTTAGATAAGTCCCTTTAACATTTCATATAATAAGGACTTGGTGATGATGGATTCCCTTAACTTGACCTTATCTGGGAAGCACTTTATCTACCCTTCCATTCTAAATGACAGCTTTGCTGGATAGAGTCATCTTGGATGTAGGTCCTTGCCCTTCGTGACTTGGAATACTTCTTTCCAGCCCCTTCTTGCCTATAAGTTTTCTTTTGAGAAATCAGCTGATAGTCTTATAGGAACTCCTTTGTAGGTAACTGTCTCCTTTTCTCTTGCTGCTTTTAACATTCTCTCCTTATCTTTTTTCCAGATAATTGTGTTTTTTTAGTATATTTCTCCTTATCTTTAATCTTGGGTAAGTTAATGGTGATGTGCCGTGATGTGTTCCTCCTTGGGTCCAACTTCTTTGTGACTCTCTGAGCTTCCTGGACTTTCTGGAAGTCTGTTTCCTTTTACAGATTAGGGAAGTTTTCCTTCATTATTTTTTCAAATAAGTGTTCTGATTGTAGAGATATTTCTTCAATAAGACTGAGTAGATAGATGTTGTGATAGTATTTTACTAGTTACCTAGATTATCTCACCCCCTTAACTTTATTCACAGAACCCAGGTTTTATTCAGGTAGCCCTGTTCCCATTTAAAAATATTTATCTCCTCAGACTCTTGCCGCTATGGATGGCATGTGGCCAAATCTGGCCAATGAAAAGTAAGCAAAAGTCTCCTGGATAGAAATTTGGGGGAAACTATTATTTTCCTGATAATAAGGGCCAGAAAACTGGCAGATGCCTTTTTCTTTCAAGTTTTCTTGATTTCACTTCTCCACCACCACACTCCATCTTCTGCCTCGAAACTAAGTGAAATGGCTGGACAAGATAAAGACACATTGGGCCGTGAAGGTGCTAAAGGTGGTAGAGAAGGATGCAAGAGTCTGTTTTCCCGAGCAGCTGCCCTTGTGCTGCATTTCTTAATGATAGCCTCTTTATTACATGAAAAACCATTCTCAAGATTGGTTAGGCCACTGTGTTTGGACTTCTTGTATATTCAGCCAAATCCAATTCTAGTACTTTATATTTAAAATTTTCAATTTGAGCCCTAGCCAAGTGGCTCAGTTGGTTGGAGCATCATCCTGTGCACCAAAAGGTTGCTAATACTATCCACGGTCAGGGTACACACCTGGGTTGCAGGTTCGAGCCTTCATAGGGGAGCATGTGGGAGGCAACAAGCCCATGTTTCTCTCTCACACTGATGTTTCTCTCTCTCTCTCTCTCTCTCTCTCTCTCTCTCTCTCTCTCTCTCTCCCTCTCTCTCATCAATAAACATGTGCTTGGATGAGGATTGAAAAAAAAGAGCATTTAAAATTTTCAACTTGAAAAGTAGGAGTGAAAGATAAATACCATATGATATCATGCATAAGTGGAACCTAATCAACCAAACAAGCAAGGAAAACATGACCAGAGACATTGAAATAAAGAACAAACAGACAGTAACCAGAGGAGCAGGGGGACAGGGATAATGGGGGGGAGGGGAAGAGAAGGGTTGTCAAAGAACATGTATAAAGGACACAAGGACAAAGCCAAAGGTGGGTAGGAATGAGATGGGAGATGGGGATGCATGAAGCAGTAGGGAGTAGTGAGGGGAAAATGAAGACAACTGTACTTGAATGACAATTTTAAAAAGTATGTTAAGTATAAGTATACATGAAATATTACACAGGAGACATGATTATGAGATACGTATGACTGATGTCTAAGAAATACTGGACTATGCCATCAGCTCTTCAAGGACAGGGACCACGTCTACTTGTTGTAACACGTGTTCATGAGCCCAGAACTGGAACACAGTACGTGTCTGATCTGCTCCTGCTGGGTGAACCTCCCTGCCACCCCGAGCAAGGAGCCAGATTTCAAGAGAATCTATTTCCCAGGTCCCCAGATTGGTTTCTGCTATAGTAACTTGTCCTGATAGGGGAAGTAAGTCTTTTTATTTAGGAAACTCTTTCTTCAACCAAATTTGAATTCTTCCTTAAGGCTAGGTAAGGACTCCATTCACTCCTTTTTTCCTTGGGTTTTATTGAGATATAATTGACATATAGCATTGAACTAGTCCAAAGTATAAAATAAAATAATTTGATAAATGTATATATTATGAAATGACCACAGTAAGTTTGGTTAACATCCATCATCTCACACAGCTTTAATTATTTTCTTATGATGATAATTTTAAAGATCTCCCTTAGCAGTTTTTGAATATGCAATATAGTACCACTAACTATAGTTACCGTGCTGTACATTAACATCCCCATAACTTACAACTATAACTGTTTACTTTTTGACCACTTCCCTTGACCTGTCTTTATTCAAGGCAGAGAATAACTATACCCTCATTCTGAAAATCATGACCTCCAATTCAGTGCAGATTCTGAAAGAAGACTTCTTTCCTCACATTATTTCTGGGCTTACAGTGATGTTCTGGCCCTCCTGTGTGAGGACTACGTTGAGAGTCATTGGAATGAACATAATCCACCCATTGTTTGTTTTGTGGTGAGGCTGGGTTTGACCATCTTGCAATGGCATGTTGGAGCTGCCTCACAGTGGAGAGACCTGATGTGTGTATCTTTCCTCAACTTCTGGTTCAGTGATTTCACACTGTAGCCTGAAATGGGCCATGGGGGCAGTATATATATCATGGAAATAGGTAAATGCTACAAATCAGGGTTCTTCCCACCCCATCTGGTCCCAAGAACAGGTTATTAAATATTTTCCAGCACACCACTCTGCTTACCTGTCCATGCTTCCTGTCTCCAGTGATAATGATGGCCTTATATTCAGATAATAGGTTATAGTACTGAAAGTAGAACCACAAGGCCCTGGCTGGTGTGGCTCAGCACATTGAGCACAGGCCTACAAACCAAATGGTCACTGGTTCCATTCCCAGTCAGGGCACAGGCCTGGGTTGTAGGCCAAATCCCCGGGTTGGGGGTGTGCAAGAGACAGCCAATTGATGTTTCTCTCACTCATTGATGTTTCTCTCCCTCTCTTTCTCCCTCCCACCCCCTCTCTCTGGAAATGAATAAATAAAATCTTAAAAAGAAAAGAAAGAAAGAAAGAATGTGGAGCCACATAAATTATCTCACTGGACTCTCACAGCTGCCCTAAGAGGTAGACAGGGCAGTTATTCTGTGCCTCCTACATTAGTTTCCTAGTGCTACTATAACAAGTTATCACATATCTTAGTGGCTTAAAACAACACAAATCTATCTTTAATTTCTGTCAGTCAGAAATCCAAAATGGTCTTAGGGGCTAAAATCAAGGTGTTGGCTGGGTTATGCTCCTTCTGGAAGCTCTAGGGGAGAATCAGCTTCCTGCCTTATCCAGTTTATAGACAGCACCTGCATTCCTAAACTGGCAACCCCATTGCATCCTTGGAAACAGGAATCATGCCTCTCTGACCTATGCTTTGGTGGTCTTAGCTCCTCCTGTGGCTCTGACTCTCCTGCCTCTTTCTCTTACAAGGACTCTTACAACCACATTAGACCCATCTGATTAATGTAGGATAATCTACCCAACTCCAGACCCTTAATCACATCTGCAAATCCCTTTTGCCATTTAAGGTAACATATTCACGGGTTCTAAGGATCAGGATTATTTGGGGAAGGACATTATCCTGCTTACTCCCCTTTTTTAGATGAGGAAGCCAGCTCTGGGAGATAATAGTTCTGCTCAAGTGCATGAAGCTGTCAGTGGACTTGGGCCAAGAACAGTGTTCTGTCCACTGCAGTGCACAGACTCTCTTTGTAAACATTTGCCCAATAGCTGGCTCAGGAGAGGACATGCTCTGGGGCAATGGGTACAGCACATCTAAGGACAAAGCCTCTGGGAAACTGAATTTGGATATTATGAGCCCTCCCAGGCCCATTCTTCTGCTAACCAAACATTCTTAATTTTCCTTCCCAGCATCCCTGGGAGACTTGGGAGGTCAAGGTCTAGTGACCTAAAGTCCCCAAAAGCTGGATTTTCTAAGTGTCAATAGAGACATAACTGATGACTTGCCAAGACACATGGACACATTCCCTTCCACCCACTCTTTAGCCACCCATCAGCCTGATTAACCCCTTTGTTTTCTGGGGCTTAGTCTCCAGCCTCATGGCTCATCCAGCACCTCCTACTCTGTCCTCCATGGTAACCACCACCTCCCTTAGTCAGATGAAATAGCAGGTAAATAGGGGAGACTTAAAATATCAGTGCATGTTATGGACA